TGCTAAACTGCAGTTGAAGAGATCACTTGTTTTCAACATAGCCGAGCAAATTAACAGAATAAGCAGATTGGGGGCAGACCCCACAGGGCTTGCTATTGAAAACGGAACAATGGGTGAATCATTCTCCAGTCCATCACAGATTCCTTGTTCATTTTCATGGTGAGCTGAACCCTGATTCCCAAGGCAGGCTGGCATGATTCTTGCCATCACAGGGCTCTTTTGCTGCTGCCAGGAATAGTCTTTCTGATGGACAGAAGAAAGCTGTCAATTCAGGACCTGACTGCACAATTCAGGCAGCTAATGACCCAGGCATTGCTACTGCACTGATTTTTGGGCGGGCTGTTCTACCATTTTATGACACGGAGGTTAGACAGGGTTACTTCAGTTTTCTGCTGAGGAAACATCATGAAATTTATGTGAAAGAAGTATGCATTTTCCCATAATTGTATCTTTTTCTCTGTACTTTCTTAACGGTTCCATTTGGATTTTTTAGATGAGAAAATGAAATTTCCCATCCTAAGAATCAAATCTAAATGACTGCTCAGAAGACTAATGGCAACCAGATGGTTTCATTTTGACTTGAGTGCACCCTCTCTGTCCTCTCCCCAGCAATCTACTGGATGTTGTGCTTCTTTAGTATGAACATTTTAGAATGTATTGCTAAAACTGAAGTGAAAAACTGTCTCCTGTGACAAGCTGGACTTACCTATGTGCTTACAGCTTCCTCACTGCAGCAGAAAAATAGTTTCATGTTTTCAAAGTAAAGAACCTCTTTTCCCTAGTGAAGCACTGTGTTTTGCTTCAAGAAAACTGCAGAGGATCAATCTGAGAGAGGATTTTTTCCAGCCTTTTTCTTATAAAAATAAAATATCAGAGAGCTGAAGGCAAGTAGTGAAGGTTGCAGTGTGAAGGTTTATAACACAGGTCGGCTGGACAGTCATCAGCTTCTCCGAGGGAAAGCATAAAATGTGCCATTAAATGGGAAATAACAATTTACTCTGCAAGGTCAGTGCCTCCCTGTAGGAGTTCAGCAAGGATCAGTATCTCTGAAGCATTATTGTTTTACTAGTGTGGTTAACTTTGGCAGTGGGAATGAGGTGACCGAGCAGAGATGCCCTGCCGACCATTACAAGTGGTATATCAGGTTTCTCAAGGTTCACTGAAGATTTTTGAGCACATTAAAGTATTCAGACATAGTAATATTTTGAACAAAATGATACTAAAGTTTCATTTTTTGATCGCTTCCTCTGAAAAAATCCTTTTCTTAGACAAGGAGATGAAATAAGATTAAAATATGTCAACCTTTTCCTAACGTCTGACCTCAAAATTAAAGTCAGCTCTCAAAAAAACCAGTTCCTTCAGCTTTTGAGATTCCAGAGTGCATTTGTATCAGATTGTCTCTTCTGAAATAGAACAATTTGAAACCTGGATTTAAATGAAAATTTACAGTACTATCTTATTAGTGAGGTGGAGGATTACAGATAACAAGAATAGCACCAAATACTGCAAAAGGTCAGACACTGCTTGGAGTTCTCTTTGTATCTTCCTGCTGTAGAAAACACTCCTTGTTCTCACTGCTGCTGCTGGAGGAAAAAATCGTCCACAGCTGTTGCAAACCAGCTTCTGTCAGCTCCCAGGCTTTCATTGCAGGTATCCCTTCCAAGTACCTCCTGAACTGATTCAGTCAAAAGCAGTCAGATCAACTCACGGGCTATCAATTCACCATCTAGTTCAATATAAATCTATTAAACAAATTTGTCTGACTGCCTGGAGTGAATTAGGGAGCAGCCACCTGACCTGCTCTTCTGGCTGCCTGGAGCCAGAGGTAAACGCGAACCAGTTTGTCAGCAAAAGGAGCCCATCAAGATCAGAGAAGAGGCTTTCCTTACTGAGCCAAACAGGTGCTTTCAACAGTGTGCTTCACTGCAGATAGCTGTGGACTGAGCATACATGGCATTTTTCAGCCCTGCTGGAACATCTTTTGTATCCATCTGTTTCCTCTGTAAGTGGCTCCCCAAAGGGGGTCCTTGCACTGCTTTGCCAAACTGCTTATGAAGCTCTATCAGTTATCATTCCCTACCTAGTGGTGATCTATGACAGTTTTTTTCTCGAGATGTTGTTAACTGTCACAGAATAAATCAAATGCAGCAAAAAGATGCAAATGTGATTTCCACATTTAATGCCACCATGGATATGATGATTAAATTACTGTTATCACTTTGGAAACATATTGTCCAACGCAAATAGCTAACAAATTATCAGAACACTTTGCTCAGACCTTCACCTAAATAATGTCATTACTTGGCAACCTGAATGTGTTCGGTGTCACACACGTTAATAATGCTCCGATCTCATCCCAAATAAATTATGTTTTGAATGATATAGCAGTCCTATCAAATACTGTTGGTCAACACCAATTTGTGAGTGCCTTTTAAAATTTTTAAATTTTTAATATGTATGTTTTAATTTCCTTCCATGTACACCCTATCAGCTGCCAACCTGCCAGTTATAGAAGCCAAAATTAAGCCCAAATTAAAAAAGGTGCTGAATCACCTGCAAAAGGCAGACTCAGAGGCTAAAGGTCTTTGTGCAGAGTGTAGCTCAGGAGCATGGAAGAGCATCAGGCCACAGTTTCCTCTTGGTGCAGATGAGTAGACCAGGGCTGACATAAGATTATTTCAGCCCAGCAGGAAGATAAGAATTCAGTCTACAGTTCAGTATTTCTTTACCATACTCTGTGTTTGTGGTCCTGTGTGTCAAGTGGCATAAGCATTAACTAAGTTATGCATGCCATGATGTGCTATTTGCTGTGACTCTTACTAGGCAGACTGTGAAAAGTCTTCTAGACGTTGGGTCAGAGAATCATAGAATCATAGAATCATAGAAAGGTTTGGGTTATAAAGGACCTCAAGGATCACCTAGTTCCAATCCCCCTGCTTGAACAGGGTTGACAAGCACTAAATCAGGTAATAGGTCTGGTTGCCCAGGGCCCCATCCTACCTGGCCTTGAACACCTCCAGGGAATGAGCTTCTCTGGGCAGCCTGTTCTGGCACCTCACCACCCTGTCAGCGAAAAATTTCCTCCTGACATCTAATTTAAATTTTCCCTAAGTTTAAAACCATTCTCCCTTGTCCTATCAATATTTACTCCTGTAAATATTGTATCCTGTAAAAAGTTGATTTTCCTCCTGCTTATAAATTCCTTAGTACGGGAATGTTACAAAGAGGGCTATTCCCTTCTCCAGGCTGAACAAGCCCCACTCCCTCAGCTTGTGTTTGTAGGAGATGTGCTCCAGCCCTCTGATCATCCTTTTGGCCCTCCTCTAGACCCTCTCCAAAAACTTCACATCTTTCCTGAGCTGAAGGCCCCAGACCTGGATACAGTACTCTAGATGTGGACTTACGAAGGCAGAATAAAGGGAGAAAATCACCTCCTTTGCCCTGCTGACCACCCTTCCTTTGATGCTGCCCAGGATACTGGTCTTCCAAACTGCAAAAGTGCACACTGCTGGCTCATGTCCAGTTTTTCATCTGCCAGTACCCACAAGTTCTGTGCAGCACTGCTCTCAGTGAGTTCTTCTCCCAGTCTGTATACAACTCTGTGATTGCCTTGGTCCAGTTGTGACACCCTACACTTGGCTTTGCTGAACCTCATTAGGTCCATGTAGGTCCATTTTCTAAGCCTGTCCAGGTCTCTCTGAATGGTATCCCTTCCTCCTGTTGTGTCAACTAACCACTCAGCTTGGTGTTGTCTGCAAATTCACTGAGGGTACATTTGATCCGACTGTCTATGTCACTGATATAGATGTCAAAGACTACCAATACCAAGACAGACCCCTGGGAGATTACCACTCACGATTGACGTTCACCTGGTTGTAGAGCCACTGAGCACAATCTTCTGGATGCAACCATCCAACCAATTCATTACCTACTGAACAGTCCAACCTTTGAAACCATCTTTCTCCATTTTAGAGATGAGGATGTGCTTTAGGACTGTGTCAAAGGCCTTGTACAAGTCCAGGTAGATGACATCAGTTGCCCTTCCTTTCTCCACCAATGTGGTCACTCCATCATAAAAGGCTACCAGATTGGTCAGGCATGATCTACCTTTAGAGAAGCCATTCTGGTTGTCTCAGATCACCTCCTCATCCCTCATGTGCATGATCTTTCCAGGAACAGATGTGAGGCTCACCAGCCTGTAGTTCCCCCAGGTCCTTCTTCTGCCCTTTCTTATAAATGGGAGTGATGTCTCCCGTATTCTGGTCCCTGGGGACTTCCCCTTACAGACACAACTTTGCAAATATAATGGAGAGTGACTTGGCAACCATATCAGCCAGTTTCTTCAGAACCTTTGGATGCACGACATTGGGCCCCACAGACTTGAATCAGACTGATGAGATGGCCACGAACTTGCTCTGCTCTTACACTGGGAGACATTTTGTTCATCCAGCCCCCACCTGGAGGTTCAGGGATGTGAGATTCAGGGATGTGAGACGGCTGGATGACAGAGTTAGGGCAACTGCCATGAGATGGACAGCTGAGTGACGAGGTTGAGGAAACGGCTGCACGATGGAGTCGGTGAAACCATCTCAAGATGGACAATCTAACGGTGGCGGGACCGCAAACCAGAGCTGGGTTCTGGACGGACTGAGGACTCACACGTGCCGCCGAACCCGGGCACTCAGGATGTGCACCGGCCGCGTGATGGCTCGGCTGTGCCAGCGGGGCAACGGGTGCCTGTAAAGGGCAGCGGCCACAGCCCGACCCCGGCTGGCTGCGGAACGTGCTCTGAACAGCCGCCTGTCGCCCTCGGCGCTCCCTCACAGCCGCGGCCCGCGCTCTGGGCCGCGAGGAACCGCGGGCGGCTCGGCCCGGGTAAGGCGCTCTGCTGCCGGGCGGGGCCCGGCCCGGGCCGCCCCGCCCGCCGTTGTCCGGGACGCCGTTCGCGACAGCCGCTGCCTCTCGGTACGGCAGCGTTGCCGTGCAGCCGCCGCGTTCCGCGGGACTTAGCGATGGCGTCCGGATGGGAGAGCGAGCGGAGCCTGGAGGCGCGCAAGGAGCGGCGGCGGCGGGAGCGGGAAGCGCTGCTGGCGCAGGTGGGCTGCTCGGCGCGGCTCGGCCTTCCCGGACCGAGGGCTTCCTGCCCTGCCCTGCTCTGCTCTGCCGGGCTGGGGCGGCCGCAGAGTGCGCTCCGAGCGCGGCCTTGCCCGAGGCCTCAGCCCGCCGTGGGCTCACAGGACAGCCCGAAGGGAGTGCCGCGAAACGGGGCGGCGCGGAGCGGGGATCTTGTCTGCTATTTCGCTTGTTACGGGCGTCTGGTTTTCAGTCAGCTGAAAAGAGCCCGCTTCTGTCTGCTTTGAAGTTGGCTTCATGTATTCGTGCACATAACCCCGAGCCTTCTCAGCTCTAGGCCAGGCAGTTTTGGAGCAACAGGATCTGGGGTTGTTAGCTGACAGCCGGCTGAACGTGAGCCAGCAGTGTGCCCGGCTGGCCAAGAAGGCCAACGGCATCCTGGTTTGTATCAGCAGTAGTGCAGCCGGCAGGAGCGGGGAGGGGATCGTCCCTCTGTACTCAGCTCTGGTGAGCCCACACCTCAAGTACTGTGTTCAGTTCTGGGCCCCTCGCTACAGGAAAGACTGAGGTCCTGGAGCGTGTCCAGAAAAGGGCAACAGAGCTGTGAAGGGTCTTGAGCACAAGGCTTATGGAGAGCAGCTGAAGGAACTGGGATTGTTCAGTCTGGAGCAGAGGAGGCCCAGGGGAGACCTTATCGCTCTCTGCAACTGCCTGAAAGGAGGTTGTGGTGAGGTGGGGGTCGGCCTCTTCTACGTAACAGTGATAGGACAAGAGAGAATGGCCTTAAATTGCACCAGAGGAGGTTCAGGTTGGATATTAGGAAAAATTTCTTCTTGGAAAGAGTTGTGAGGTATTGGCACAGACTGAGAGGTGGCACATGACCAGAGAGATGGTGCAGTCACTGTCCCTGGAGGTGTTCAGGAAGTGTGTGGATGTGGCACTGAGGGATGTGGTTAGTGGGCATGGTTGTGAGGGGTTGACGGTTGGACTGGATGATCTTAGTGGTCTTTTCCAACCTTAATGAATCTATTCTATAATTCTGTTGTTTTCTCAACCTTTCCTTTTACAGGTCATCTCTCTTTGCATTCCTGGCCTTTCTTTCCTGAGGAGCCCATGTTGTACCACTGGCACTTTCATTGTGGGGCGAGTGACATCTCAGACAAAAGTGAGGCAGCCTGACGGGTAGAGCTCACATTCTAGCTGCTGGGTTAGCCCCTGTTCTTGTGTGAGCTGAGACACAGCAGCCACTCTTTCACAGCTTTCATGGAGTTGCTGTGACCCAGAGAGCTAGCTGTCTTTATCCTGATACACTCAAAGCCTGCCTGTGTGCAGCGATCAGTGCATGTGCAGGAAACTGCTGGGTCTTTTAACTCAAAGGCAGAATGAATAGTGGCATTGGGAATCACATGCTGGTTAAGTAACGTGGCTTGATACGAAGCTTAAGAAGTGACTACATAGATGTGTAGGATAAGATACAGAAATAATAGTAGGTTGTGATGGTGGGCTTGTGAGAGAAGGAAGACAGCCAAGATATTTCTAGAACAAAGGGAATGGGAAAATGGCCTGAATGGCTTGCTGCTTACATAGTAGTGATGTTTTTTCTCACTTTTCAACGTGAGAAGATAGCAGAATTTAGGTAATGTTTTACGTGGGTGCCTCTTGCATAACTAGGGAACTGTTCCTAGGCAACAGGATTTCCGTTCAGTGACATCAAAATGTGAAACAATTCTACTCTCTATGTTCCCTTCTTCTTACAAGCAGTTGAAAGGGATATCCTTTAACTAGGTAATAAGCCGTATTATCCTGCAGAAGTTTTTTTTTTTTTCTTTTTCTTTTTTTTAATTGGTTATTTTTATTTTTTGCACTTTCTGCTTGATTTGAATTCCTGTTAGAAGTGCTCTCTTGAGCAATTCAAACTGTTGGAAAATGTTCTTAACTAGAAGAAAATAAGATTTCTGTAGGACACCATTATCCTGTTTTACCTCTTCTCACTTGTACAGCAAGAGAGTTGAGAGCTTACAGTTCTATTTGTAGAAAAACTGTACAGTGTCAGGCATTGTTGGTGTAGCTTATCAAATAATCATTTTTCTCTGTTTTCTTTGCTTCTGCTAGAATCAGTGGTGTAACACGAAACAGAAGTATACTATGAGGATTTTAAAATTTTAGCATAACTTATTCTTCAGAGGACTTTCTACTTCTTTTGTTTGTATCTTTAAAATAGTGTTAACTTTAAGTAGGAGTTTGTAGTCACTAGATTGTGGTATTACGTATGCTGCAATCTAAAGAAAATCCAATAAATTTGTGTTGAACTTGTCATCATGTAAGTCTCATTTCAGGGAGACATACTGAAGCTGAGAAAAGCAGGTGGGTTGCATACTGTAACACAGTATGACAGTGAGACCTAAGCTACTTCCATGGTGAAAAGGCTGAAGCTGGTGATGAAGCCTAATCCTAGTTTGGTGGTGAATCCCTAAGCTGGTGAATCCTTAATCCTAGCAAGACATCTTCACTAAACTTGTTTTTTTCCTTGAATTTGAACAAGAAACTAATCATTGTGGTGGATGAGAAGCTGGACATGAGTCAGCAGTGTGTGCTTGCAGCCCAGAAGGCCAACTGTGTTCTGAGCTGCATCAGAAGAGGAGTGGCCTGCAGGGAGAGGGAGGTGATTGTCCCCCTCTACTCTGCTCTTCTGAGGCCCCAGCTGCAGCACTGCGTCCAGGCCTGGGGCAGCACAGGAAGGACGTGGAGCTCTTAGAGCAGGTCCAGAGGAGGGCACTAAGATGATCAGAGGGCTGGAGCACCTCTCCTATGAGGAAAGGTTGAGGGAACTGGGCTTGTTTAGCTTGGAGAAGAGAAGGCTCCAGGGAGACCTCATTGTGGTAACTTGAAGGGAGCTTATAAACAGGAGGGGGAACGGCTGTTTATGAGGGTGGACAGTGATAGGACAAGGGGGAATGGTCTTAAGCTGAGATGGGGAGGTTTAGGTTAGATATTAGGAGGAAGTTTTTTGTACAGAGGGTGGTGACACACTGGAACAGGTTGCCCAAGGAGGCTGTGGATGCCCCATCCCTGGAGGCATTCGAGGCCAGGCTGGATGTGGCTCTGGGCAGCCTGATCTGGTGGTTGGCGACCCTGAACGTAGCAGGGGGGGTTGAAACTAGATGATCAGTGTGGCCCTTTTCAACCCAGGCTATTCTACGATTCTGTGATTGTCTTATTCAGAATGTTTTTAAAATGTTGTGAATACATTTTATTCCTAGCTAGAAATCTTAAAGAAATATCAGCATCTATTTTTGCAGGCAACAATGATTGCTTAGAATCATGGAATCACCAAGGTAGGAAAAGATTTCCAGGATCATCCAGTGCAATTGTCCACCTACCACCAATATTTCCTACTGAATCATGTCCCTCAGTGTATCAAAACATTTTGTGAACACCTCCAGGGTCAGTGACTCCACCTGGGCAGTCAGTGGTTCCAGTGCCTGACCACTGTCTCGGGGAAGAAGTATTTCCTAATATTTGACCTTAATCTCCTCTGGCTCAACCTGAGCCATTCCCTCAAATAAATAAAACCTCATTAAGTTCATGCAGGCCCACTTTTCAAGCCTGCCCAGACCCCTTTGGGTAGCATCCCTTCCTCCTGTTCTGTCAGCCGCACCACTCAGCTTGGTGTTGTCTGCGAACTTGCTGAGGGTACACTCGATCTCACTGTCATTGATGAAGATGTTGAAGAGTATCTGTGCCAAGACAGTGTGTGTGTCCAGAGTGGAGGACGCTACTCATGACTGGTCTCCACCTGGATGTAGAGCCACTGAGCAAAAAGAGATGATTGTGTGTACTTCAGTTTTTGATTCTGAATGAGATGAGATTTTGAACTGACTCATCTTCAGGAGCCTGTAGTAGTATAGTATTGAAAATTGTTTACCTGTCTTCTGTTCTGTCAAGAATGCAGCTGGGGCTTTGGAAAAGGGAAGACCTTTCACTGGTTCCAGGTACCATTTGTTTGTTCATAGGTAGGACACTGAGGTGTCTGGGGGAACCTTTACTCTATTTTCCTGAAGTAATTCTACCAAAATCACTGAGCTCACAAGAAAAAAATGGGTTTCACCCTCTCTTTTCTTTTTGCAAATTCCATATCCTCAAAAATCAAGATTAGAATTGTTTTGAAACAGTTGTAGACATAGAACTGTGTTCTTTACCTTTAGGAGCTGAACAGATGTTGTATCTTGCTGACTTTTAATTACTCTTATGTTTTTGCTGGTTATGACTTTACTGTACTACTTTGGAAGAATCCAAATATCTCCAAACCCATTGATTGAGATTTCTCTTTCAAATTTTGGAGACATAACTTCTATTTGTGTAATCTGCCCTCCCAACTGCATTGATAAAACCCTAGCAGCTGGTAATGTTTGTGGATAACGATCAGTAATCAAATAATTAAGTGTTGACATGCAAATTGTTATCAAACTCCAGAAATAGCATCTTGTTTTGATGAGTATGATCGTTCATGACATCAGTGTTTTACTTTGTAAGTTTGGAAAGGGAAAATAATTTGATGGGTGTTTTGGTAAGCATAGGGCTGTGCACTTTTCCTAGATGTGAGCACTTTTTTCTTTTTTTTTGGTAAAAACTGGCAATAATTCACTCCTGAGTTTAGTCCCTGAATCTGTGCTATGTCATGACAGCTTTTAATTTCGTTGTTACCCTTCTGTGACTTGTTTTTTTTATGGAATTGATGAGTTTCACTTGGTCTCTAAGGCTGATGTGATTTGCTTATTGCTTATGTAGGAGCTGTTAGGGGTGACTGATAGATTTGCAAGATTCTCTTGCTACCAATGCGTTGTTTAAAAAAATATATTTGCAAGTAAATGAGAGCTCACTCAATATTTCAAGTGAATAAGATGTGTTCTGAGACAAGGTGAATAAAATAATGGTGCTTTGAAACAGGTCAATGGTTAATTTGTTCCTCGTTTGTAACGTTAGACTCATTTAACTCAGTGTCTATTTGTAAATTTTCCATCCTGAGGCAAATAGTAATTTCATTCTATTCTATTACAGAGAAAAGTTTAAATCACACGCAAAGAATAAGCATAAAGATAAAACAAACAACAACAAAAAAAAACAACCAAAAAGCAATCCAGCAAATGTGAAGAAGCAATGGAAAATAAGTGAAAGAATTTATACAGCAATGATGAGTTCTCTGGGGGGAGAAAGGGGAGGAAGTAAATATAGGAGAAGAGTGAGTGTTGCTCAGGAATGAAGCTGATAGAGGAGACAAAAGGGATGGGGAGTAATTTTTGACTTTAGTAATGTGCAAAAGGAGGCAGTGAGTTCCAAATATGTAATATTGTTACTCTTTTTGTGCAGTCATTTGGTTTATGATTGAGAACACTTTCTAGTAAAACTGATTCAGGATGGAAACCAAATCCTGCCTTTAGTTTTTGCTTCAACTTCATTAGAAAGTGCACGGTTTATTTCACACAGCTGAAAACATTGCAGGAGTGGAATTGTAATAATGAAAAAAAAATTTCCTGCTTAATCAGATGTGATGATTGCATTTGGGATAAAGAGTTTCCATAATGACAAATTCAGTTTGTGGGAACTGAAAGCCATGCTTCTGATGAATGTATCACAGGAAACTTCATTGTCTGGAAGGGTCGACATCTAATGTACATAGTTTACAGCATTCCTTTTCAGGAGTTGAAAGTGCAGCGATTGCTAACTCTTCAGAAATAGGACTAAAAATATTTCTAGCTTTCTCTCCATAACCAGAAAGGGAAGAACCTTCTGCAGCCCCAAATTTTGAATCTGGCTGAGATATTTCTGAAGTTGAGAAGGCTTGCTTACAGCTTACTTGTAAAATTAACACATACTGAGCTGTGCTTGGCAGTGGAGTAATTGCCCAGGGAATGTCAGAAGTCCACTGTATCACGTAGTGTGCTGTTTGTGAAGGCTGCAAGAAAGAAGATTCTGCAGAGTGAAGAAAGGAAGGTGAACATCTTTGCCTTGTTTACTGAGGATAATGGGATGGAGTCAGTGCTAGAGAAGCTGCAGAACTGTAGCCTGAGGAAGTAGGGTGCATAATCTTTTTTTAGCTGGCTTTCTCATTTAACATGCAGTAATCCTGAAGTGTGTTTATTGCTGTCCTGTAATATGAAAAGCTCTCAAGTACTGTTTTAAAATTGTCTATGACTGTGGCAATGTGACTTACAAAAACATCTGTACCTAATGCTACTGAGCTCCATTTAGTTATTTTTCTTCTCTGTTTTAGGCCAAAATTGATTACGAGAAGGAGGAGAGGCGCAAGCTGCAAAAGCGTCTGCGAGGCGAGGACACGTGGATGCTTCCTGACGTGAACGAGCGTGTGGAGCAACTGGAGGAGGTGATGCGCCTGGAAATCACTGAATTGTGTTTGTAGTTTTATAACATGTCCATATGCACAGGAAGGTTTGAGGGCCCTAATGTGGTCCAAAAGATCTCCCAATTTCTGAATTTTGTATGCTTCAAAATTAGCTTAGTTTAAGTGGAAATAATCTTTTACTCAGAAAGAGGAAAGCAACTTTAATCATTCAATTCCAGCTTTAATTTTTATCATACACAGGGGAGCAAGTACTGCCAGACAAGAATAGTGCCTCGAGAGGGGTTCTAGAGGATCCAGGGTTTTGTAGTAAGCTCATTTGCGCTAATTCAACAGGGAAGTTGTAATGGAGCATCCAAATATCACATCCCTAAGTGTTATTTTAGAAACCTGTGTGATATATCAGCAAATGACACAGTGTTGCCCAAGGGAATGGATTTGACTGAAACAAGGGTAGTGCAGATGATCTGTGTCTGGTGTAGTGCCTTAGTTCCAGTGAAAAGGATACTGTGGGTAGGGCTGGGGATTGGTTATGGACAGCTCTTCTCTGTCCCTAAGATGAAGAGAGAAGGTAGTAGAAATAAAATGTGTCTGTGTCCAGATGTGTGTGTTTTGCCTTTTTCAGTGTGATTTGGTATGTAGGTTATGATTGTTTTTCTTGTATGTGGCCAGTTGGGTTTACTGAACCTCATTTACAAACATTTTCTTGTAGGAACATTCTGGGAAGAAAAAAAAGAAAAAGGATAAACATTCAAAAAAATCTAAGAAAGAAAAAAAGAAAAATAAAAAACAGAAATCTGAAAAAAAGGATGACACTGATGATAGTTCTTCAGTAAGTAAGAAACTTAAAAGAGCTTCAAGTGACTTCTAAAAAAACTGCAGCGTTCTATGGGTACTTGGGTACACATGTTTAGTAATACTAAGACTCACTCTCCCCAATGGGAAAAGCTGTGGCAATATTTGTCTCTTTAATGCACCAAGTCTCCTTCATATAGCAAATGTTTAGTCAGTTTAGAAGATGCTGTAATCTGAATCTGTCTGAATTTTATAATATTCAATTAGAAAATAAGGATTTGCAGTTTTTTAGCCAAGTTCTTGATATTTGGGGACTTCTGGAATAGAGTGGAAAAAATCATAATTCTCTGTAGTTGCGGGTATAAGGTAGAACAATGTGTCTAAAATTGGAAATGTTTGACTTAGATTTCAAGCATGAGTTACTGTTGCCTTCTCCCATGGATATTCAACTGGGAGCTGTACACTAGTCCAAAGGAAGCTCAGACCAGTGCATTTGATTCTCTTGACAGATGCCTTTTCATTCAGAGGCACTCTGGCAAAACAGTACAGAGAGCTGCTGCTTTCTGACCATGATGTGCAAAACATCTTCCTGGTGTTTTGGTCCAAGTCAGGTAGCAGTGTGACTTTTCTTTTGAGAGAATCTCTTTTACTGAGAGAATAAACATGCAGTATGATGAGGTTTATTTTCTAGTGACTGAAGGAGGTGAACCATGCTTTAAGTGTGGGAAGTAACCACAAATATCCCACATTTCCTGTGGGATTCATCAAAACTAAAATTACATTGGTGAGTCCCACAGTAAAGCTCAAGTCTGATTGCTTTGTTCCAGAGTCTCTTATTGCCACAACAGGTTCAGATAAATAGCAAAGAAATTCTATTCAGTAAAATACAGTTTGGTTTGAGTGTGAAATTACAGTGCATGGTTTGCAAATGTCAAAGTTGGGTTTGAAAATGGGAGATCATGACATGTGAAGTGCTTTGGATGGTAGTTATTGATTTAGTTTTCCAGTGTAAAACATAGTGATGAACCTAAACATTTTAATATTTTGTTTTTGTAATGCAATGAAAACATTTTTTTTGTTTTTATTCTGACAGTTTTAACATTAGCAGTGTTATGATGTGAGTCAGCAGCCAGTGGGAACTGGTGTTACATGCTGCAGTGTGCTCATGAACTCTAGCAGTGTGTTTTGGTTGTGAAGGAACAATTTCCTTTTGGATCTATCGAAACTACATTTTTATCCTCAAATATTACATTAGTAGTGCTTAGCAACCAGCATCAAGTTTGACTAACAGTATACTTGGTAAGTGGCATAAATTTTATCAGTGTATGTTGATGTGTTATAATTGTTTGCATTAAAATTTATACTTAGGATTCTTCAGTTGAATGGGTTGAGTCAAATGCATCACAGTCAGATAACACAGAAAAGGCCTGGAAGGTCAGCAAGCAATCAGATGCTGCAAAAGAACCAGCTGTGCAGGTAAGAGGTCAGATAACTACTCCAGAAATAAATTCAGCATGACCAAATGTCGAATGTGTTTGGATTTCTTGACAGTTCATTTGCAGTGTGTTGAATAAACACTGTTTCTCAGAGAAAAGTTGTGTTTATCAAGGTAAATGTTACATTTCATTAATTCATGGCTTCTCTACTTGATAGTTGCATAGGATTTAACAAGGTGCAACATTTGAAGTTGCCCAGCGCCAGTTTCTTTCATCTGTTTTGAGGCTCTAGCAACTTAGCCTGTTTTCTTGAAGAGTCACTTTAAAAATAATGTTTGGAGAAGTTATTTTTCTACATAATTTAGGTGTTTTATTCTGCAGTTGAATGAAGTTTTGCTTCTGCAATTATTAAACAGTTGTAAGGAAGGGAGGTGCAGAACTTCTCAGCAACAATATTTATAGGCTCAAGGCCACTCCCAAGGTGAATTCTGTGCACAGTAAGCAGATTTACTATCAGAATGGCATAAGTGTAGCGACATGTCATGATGTTTTCATTTGTGTGAGAGGGTCTTATTTCATTCCTGCTTCTCACTCTGAAGCTGTGTATGTAATTAAGAGAAATAAAAAGAATCTCTGAATTGTACACATATATTTTGAAAAAGTATGTAGTAAAAAAAAATAATCGCAGAATCATTTGAGCTGGAAAGGACTCAGAAAAGTCATCTAGTCCAGCTCTCCTGCAGTGAACAGGGACACCTACAGCTCCATCAGGTGCTCAGAGCCCCATCCAGCCTGACCTCGAGTGTCTGCAGGGATGGGGCATTTGTGCCACTGCCTTGCTGCCCTTATTTAAAAAAAACTTCTGCCTTATATCAAATCTGTATCTCCCCTGTTTCAGATTGAACACACTTCCCCTTGTCATATCACGAAAGAGCCTACTAGAGATTCTGTTCCTAAGGCTCCCCTTTACATAACGAAAGGCTGCCCTCAGGTCTCCCCGGAGCCTTCTCTTCTCCAGGCTGAACAGCCCCAGCTCTCTTAGCCTGTCCTGGTAGGAAAGGTGTTCCATCTATTGGATCATTTCTGTGGCCCACAAGTCCTTATGGATATCATCGTAATTTGTATTGCAAAGCCATTGTTTTTGCCAGACATTTCTCATGTAAAGTCACTTACTCTGCACACTCTGGATGTGTCTTATTTTGGATGAGGAGTGAATCTCCAGGTCATTCCTACCTTTAGTATATTTGCTGTCATTATAAAGCAGTCTTGGAGCTCATAAACCCATTTCATATATACAGAAGATGCATACAGGACTGCTCAGAGCAGTTGTGAAATCTCCTTGGAGATCTTCAGAAGACATCTGGATATTGACCCAGGCACCCTTCTCTGTGTGGGATCAGGGAGCTTGGACCAGGTGTCCTCCAGATCCTTACAAATCTTCTGTTGATCCATTCTGCTTGGTTATGTAAGTGTAGATACTATTGAATGACTTGAAAGCAGATTAGTTTTCACTTCTTTCTTGGAGGAGATCTGAGAAGTGGAATGTTGTTTATCACCTCCAAAACACTCATTTTTGAGCACTGGAGAACTAGTTAACATACAACATCTGTTAAGATTGACAGCTCAGACTTGAACCTTAGCAAAGACATTTGAAGACTCTTCTGCAAAGGCATGTTTTGAAATAGATGTAGCTGTGTCATTTTGATTCCTGTACTATACATAGAAGTGTTTCAAATGTTTTTGCAGAGTAGTTGCTTATAATGTGTGTGACACTGCCTTCTTTGATGCTTCAGGGTTTGTATGTATAAAGAAGTGTTTCAAATTTGAGTAGGTTGTCCATATGCTGCTGTTCTTTAGAAAGTACTCCTCATTTTTAAATGTCCTCAGTCTGGCTTTTCTACCTGCTACTGTGGGGTACAAATGACAAAATTTAGATGTGCAACTCTTTTATTTGGGGGTGCTGTTAGATGCTGAGATATCCCCAGTATGAACTATGCTCAATGATATTTTTTTTGGCAGATTTTGTATATGCTAGAAGATACATAGGAGTTTATGAAGCCAAAAGCAGCAAATTGTAATTCTGTAATGATGGAAAAGGAATTGGCTTAGCTGTACAAAGTTCACTTAAGCAAAAATGAAAAAAAAAAGCTGTCTATACGTTTTGTGTATTTACTGCTGTCTTAAATACACTGGGTGGACGACCGGGGCAACGGGCACAAACTGGAACACAGGAAGTTCCACCAGTTCTACACAAATATTAAAGACTGAAGCTCATTAAATCGCTTTTGCTTTTCATCAAAATATTTCATATGTATTGGTAAAATGTGTGCTGTTTGTTGTAAGTAGCTTTTGTCAATAGTTGCATTGTTTGTTTTTTTTTTTTTTTGAAGAGAGAAGAATGGATGAATTTAGACTTCATGTCTCTGAAAACCATGTCACTGGCATCTGTCAAAGGTGAAAGAGAGAAAGACAAAATACTGGAACGACAGAAAGCTCGAGAAACTGAGCAGGTAGGAGGAATTAATGCACCAACTTTTTTCTACATTTTACCATGTTTTACATAATGAATTGGTTCTAATACCTAAGTTTCAGTATACTTTTAAATTGTTTAGATTAATGCCTGATGTTGTGTATGATAACGGTTCTGATTAAATGGATCAGATGTTTGTTCTCTTTGGGTTAGGAAGGGTTCTTATAGCAGGCTTATCCTGTAGAGAAAAGCCTGTAGTTACCTTTTCAGTAAGAAAAAGGCCAGCTTAGCAAGTACCAAGTTCTGTAACGATTGAAGTACTTCTGAGATGTTTTGTGTAGTTACATACTGTTGGCCTGGCCTTCTCCCCATGATATGTGCGAAAGGAGCCCTGTTGTTTTGTGCGGTAAAAGCTCACTCAGGTTTCTGTGTTGAAGTGTAATATGGCTGTTTTTCATGAAGAAGGAACTCAGAGTGGTTGCAGTGCCTTCCATGTGGTCGTTGTGCGTTAACACTTCGGAGGATCAGAGTCCAATTGCGGAAGGGCTTGGTGTCATAAAATTAGTTCAGTGTGTGTACAGTTGTTGGTGGCTTCATTTGTTCATTCAGCTCTTTCAATGCAGTGTGATCTGATTTGAAAACGTAGTGGATGATCACAACCTTTTCTTTCTGTCATGCTTTTCAAATGCTTACATTGTAGTTAAGAACCAGGCAGACCTGGACTGTTCTTGTGTGTACACAGCACTTCAGGTATTCGCTTTTGAGCAGAGCTTAATCTTTTTTCTTCCCACATAATATTTTGCTGAACGTTTTTTCTGACCCGTTGAAGGACCATTACCAGACTGTCAGCATGCATTATATGGTTGATGACCACTTATACATACTCTTGATCCTAGAAGAATATGGTTTGTTATAGACTGTTCCACCCAATTGCTTTCCATGCAGCTTTATATTTTATCTATTCCTTATTGGGTACATCAAACCATCTTACAACAGATGTGTGTAGCACGATGAGTTGAATATAAATGGAGACAAATATAAACTTTTGTCGCTGCTGGAATTTCCTATTAAAAATTTTCTCCAGTGAACTTGCTTGCTTCCAGACAAATAAGTTGACAGAATCACAATAAGAAATCTATTTTGAGATTTCTTGAGGTAAGAGCAGAAGCTTTCACAGCCCTGCTTCATACACAAGTGCATGTTATTGCTACACTGATAATGAATACAAAACATATGCAATGCATGCATAAACATTATCTTTGTATCAGGCCGTGCTTTCTGAGAGAGAACTCAATCCCTATTGGAAGGATGGTGGTACGGGAATGCCACCAGAGGAGGATCACTCAGCTTCAATTAAAAAAGGTAAACTGCAACTTTATTCATAATCTTAAATTCCTATCTCCACTCTCTGGTCTCTGGGTTACTAGCAAATTATTACAAATGTTAATGTAACTGGATTATAGATAAAGTAGAATTCAGATGAAAATTCAGTAGTGAATATTGGGTTAATATCACAGTATGTTGTTTTGCAGAATTTCTTTTCACTGGTTGCTAGTCTTGAGTGGTTTAACCTTCAGTATCTTCATAGAAATTCCCCATGTGGAACTAATTAAAATAAAGAAGTATGATTTAACCAAGACAAGATAAATTGTTGTCATCTCATTTGGTTCCTTTCATTCCATTACACAAATTATAGTTTTAAAATACTCAACTACAGAAGTCTGAGTCACATTAAAGTGAACTGCATTACAGATGCAATTTGTGAAAAATATTATTTCTGTAACCTTTTTGTTTCTTTCCTTACCCTGGGGTTATCTCATCTGTTTCTAGCAAAAGCGTTTTTCATAATGTCATGAAACATTTATCATGTGGTGAAAACGGCCCTCGTATTCTGTCAGTGGGGAACACTCAGGTCCCTTGCATTTCTGTTTGGGAGCCTTTCCCTTGGACACTCTGTCCTACAAACCATTAGCCTCATGCACGCTTGCAGGAGTAGCAGAGATCAGCGCTGTATGAAGGCGGCAGGCACTGGTGGATCTGTTCTGAGTGTTAAGACCTCATGCTAACTTCTCAAAGGAAAAGCAGTGGGTTACTCATCAGTTTTCTGAGAAGGAAAATGCACTTGTTTGTATTGAATGGGTGTGCCAAAGGACAGACACAGAAGGTGAAAACAATAAGAAGGTTCTTTAAGTTCATTTAGAAAAATCTCACAGCTTTCTGTGTGCTGCTCCTGTCTTGGAAGATCTATGTTGTGTTCAGTGACAAAACAGAGAAGCTTAAATTTAATCAATAGTATGACTGAGGGACACTCGACTGAACTTAAAAATGTTTAATTGCATTATTAGATTCCTTCTGTTTTTCTTTTGCATCCCACCTGTTCTTACATTAAATTCAGGTGAAGGTTTAGTGTCACATATAGAGCATGTTTTAAATAGGAGTAACTACTGAAATACAAAATTATGACTTCTCATTGTTTTCTATTTTAGTTACAGTGATAGAAGATGCTGGTTTAAGTTGGTTACGAAAATCATATCAAAGAATGAAGGAGCAGGCTGAGAGAGAGAAACGGGATATTGAGGAAATTGTAGCGGAAAGATACGGGGTAAGGATCTTCAGTTAATTTTTTTTAATAGCAATTATAAATACAGTATATTTTTTATAGGTGCTTGGAAAAGGTTACTTTCATGTAAAAACACAAATAATGTGCAGTGTCAGAAAGAAGCAGTAGGAAAGAATCAGGAAAAGGCAGCCTCTTAAGCTTCTCTGTAGTGATGAAAAGTTTTATGCTATCCAAATTCATTTAATATCTTTTTTGTTAATATTATTTAGGTTTGCTGTTAGATTCTATATATTAAAATAATTTCCTTCAGCATTGTTGATCAAACGATCCCAGTTACAAAGTACCTGAATGTTTTCAAAATTGTGATAGTTATTAGAAAATATGTTTTTTGCCTGCACACAGTTTGTGGGTAATAATAATTCCGAGGTAATTTGGAGAACTGTGTCAGGTTTTACCAGATGTGAATCTTCCGGCCACTTGTCCCAATGCACTGAGAAAGCTATATGTTTTGGAAGTGTTTAAAAATTATTTTTAAAGACTGCTTTATTAAGTCTGCCATGACAATATTAGAATCATAGAATCACAGTGACATTTTGAGTTGGAAGGGACCTTTAGAGGTCATCTACTCCAGCTCCCCTGCAGTGAACAGGGACACCCAAACTAGATCAGATTGCTCTTCAAGGCTTCTAGATATAGTAATATTGTCTTTAAAAGCACTAGTCAAATGTGTGGGAAGTTAGTATTTAATCTTGGCTGTAATTTTATAGTTTTGAGTTTCATGTGTGGGGTGTGTATGTTGGTTTTTCTCTTTTGGTTGGTTTGGTTGTGTGAGTCTTGGATAAGACAGTGTGAGTTCATACTGTTGTCTTGTCACGCCTGAATGATGAAACCAGCAAGGTCAGCACTGTTGGAAATCAGTTGGTGCCAGTGATTTTAAAGAATATTATTTTTAAGAGTCTTTTTCAAGAAAGTAGGATTCAAACGCACACACACTCTAGCTACTGTGGTACAGGGTAGTGATTGAAAGAGGTTTTGGCCTGGTATGCCTCAGTATGTACAGGACTTTGACACTGTCCCCCACAACATTCTCATGGAGAAGCTGGCTGCCCATGCTTGGGATGGGCGCATGCTCTGCTGGGTGAAACACTGGCTGGATGGCCGGGTCCAAAGAGTACTGGTCAATTAAATCCAGTTGGCGGCTGATCATGAGCGGTGTCCCCCAGGGCTCGGAACTGGGGTTGCTTCTATTAAACATCTTTATTAACCATCTTAATGAGGGGATTGAGTGCACCCTCAGTAAGTTTGCAGATGACACCAAGTTGGGAGGGAGTGTTGATCTGCCTGATGGGAGAAAGGCACTGCAGAGGGATCTGGATAGACTGGATCGATGGGCCAGGGTTAACTGTATGAGTTTCAATAAGGGCCAAGTGTTGGGTCCTGCATTTCAGTCACAACAACCCCAGGCAACCCTACAGGCTTGGGGAGGAATGACTGGAAAGCTGCCTGATGGAAAGGATGTATCTTGGTGTACTGATGGACAGTTGGCTGAATATGAGCCAGCAGTGTGCCCAGGTGGCCAAGAAGGCCAATGGCATCCTGGCTTGTATCAGGAATGGTGTGGTGAGCAGGACTAGGGAAGTCATCCTGCCCCTGTACTCGGCACTGGTGAGGTGCCACCAAGAGTACTGTGTTCAGTTTTGGGCAACTCAATACAGAAAGGACATGGAGGTGCTGGAGCAGGTCTAAAGAAAGGCAACAAGGCTTGTGAAGGGCTTGGAGAATATGGCCTGTGAGGAGAAACTGAAGGAACTGGGGATGTTTAGTCTAAGGAAGAGGAGGCTGAGGGGAGACCTTATTGCTCTCTTCCAGTACCTGAAAGTATATTATAGCGAGAGCGGGGCTGGTCTCTTCTCACTGGTGACAGGTGACAGGACGAGGGGAAATGGCCTCAAGTTGTGCCAGGGTAAGTTTAGGTTGGATGTCAGGAAAAACTTCTTTACAGAAAGGGTTGTGAAGCACTGGAATAGGCTGCCCAGGGAGGTGGCTGAGTCACCATCCCTGGATGTGTTTAAAAACCATTTGGATGTGGTGCTCAGGGACGTGATTTAGCAGAGGGTTGTTAGGGTAGTATGGTTAGGTTGTGGTTGGACTTGATGATCTTTAAGGTCTTTTCCAACCTGAGCTATTCTATGATTCTATGATTCTATGTAGTATTTTGAGTAAAAACTAGATGATCTTTAAGATCCCTTCCAACCCAAGCCATTCTACGAAATATGTAATTTGTGGCGTTTAACTGCTCAAATGTGTTGCATTGCCTACTACAAAATGAAAGAAGAGGAACAGATCACATTTTGTATAATTGGCTAATGGATTTTGATTTCAAGCTTTCTCTCTTATGTTTTTAAGAATTCAGCTGGATGATAAAATACTTTACTGGGAACATCTGCTGGTTCTGTAAAAGCTGAACATCCAGTGAGCGTAAATGTAAAGTTCATGAGCAGGTAAGAAGAAACGTTTCTTGCCAGCTCAAGCTCCTAATCGCTGAGTTAGCTGGAGGAAACAGTTGTGAAGCTGTGCTTCCTGTTCCCAAGAGTGTTCAGCACTTTACAGTAGAGCCACTGGATGAAAGTTAGAAACAGTCCAAGATAAGTGAGCAGAATACCTTCCCTGTGGAGCACTTGAGACTCTAAATTGTTAATTCTTACTTTTTGTTTGAATTGATTTTCCTTCTTCCTTCCCCCTCCATGGCTCACAGTTCTGCACAGTGATACATTTTCACAGAATGATGCCTTTTTTGTAATATTTCTTAAGGAGCTTTACAATACTCCATGAGCTTAAAAGCAGTGTGACCTTTTTTGTTCTTTCTTGTAGTCAATGGAGGCATTTCAGTCACGGTTAGAAGAAGCTGAAAAAGTTGCAACCAAGAAGGAAAATGATTATAGAGGTGGTAGATGGAAAAAACATGACTACTCAGAAAATGAGAAGAAGGAACATCACATGAAAGATGAGAGACGACATGAAGATGGTAGAAACATGTCTGGGGGACATACAAGGGAGAAGCATGGCAAAGGATGGACACAAGAAGACAGAGGTTATAATAGAGATGGAACAAGAGCAGACCAAGAACGTGGACACAGCAGTAGAGACTCAGAATTGAGAGGCTATAGCTCCAAAGTAGAAAAACACTTGGATGAAAAACGAAGTAAAGAAAAGAGTGTGTCTCTAAGTGACATAAAACACAAATTTCTGAAACCCTCTGAAGATGACCTGTCATCTTACAGTGCATCTGGGGACTACAAGTCACAGGGATCTTCAAAATCGCCTCTTCATAGCTCTTTAAGCAGCCGTTTCCAAAAACCTAGTGAGGATACTCCATTGTGGAACAGAACGCACACACAAGAAAACAGTGAAAGATCAGTGTCTGATCAGAAGTCATTGGATGCTGCAGCAAAAAGTCACGGTGAAAGAACTCAAAGTTTTGAAAAAGAGAAATCACGAGAGGAGTACCCAACCAGTATCCCTGAGAAGCAGCAAATGTCGTCTGACAGCATAACATCATGTTCCAGGTATTTTACAAACACCTGTTCTTGTCTTTGGTTTGTCTGTATTGTTCATGGCAAAGTATAGCTAAAATGTTGTATTTATTATAGTAGTATTCAAGCTGTCCATGTCAGATCTTTAATTATGTGGACACTTGTCCACTTGTCTCCCAGATAGGCACAGCCAAAATGGACCTGTGTGGAATTAATGAGCACCTCTGTTTCCTCTGTTTCCTTGGCATATTTAAGAATTGCCAGTTACAGATTATTTTGCTGCTTCTTTATAATGTTAGCTCACGCTACAGTAAAATTGTCCTATTAACATGTCCCCTCTACCAAGCAAAACCATGTTTCATGTTTTGATTATTTTAGTAAAGACAAACTTTAAATGTCAGAAATGTGAACTGAAAACTGAAGTAATTATTAAAACAAGGGATAGGTTTGCCTCCTGTAAGATTCACTCATAAGCTAAAGTAATAGCACGTGAAAATAGCAGAAGATATTGATTAGAAAGGTGTATTTTCTGTGAAAAAGGGATAAGATGAAAAGGAATGGGAAGGGAGATGCAAGGCAGCATGTGATGGAAATTTCAGTTTGACTGACTTGCTTTATTAAAAGAAAATGGGGAGTAGTAAGGAGAGGGTAGAAAAATGAGTTGCAGAAAATTGAGTTGTTTATTTTCTTAAAGCTAGCTGTTCTCCATCATTACCAGCTTGTTTGTTCTTCCAGTGATATAACTAGTGTGGGAATTACTGTGAAGGTTTGCTTTGGATCTTCCTGGTAGGTGATAAACATGTGCAGAGTGTTTTACAATTGAAGTAGTGTTATGCAGGTACACAGGGTCTGACTGATTGGGGAAGGTGGGCAAGTGATTGTTCATGGCCTGTGTATGTAAGGTGACAAGGTTTAGTCAGGAACAGCAGTTGATGAAATGTTCTCAGTTATAATTCCTTGTTTCTTAAATGCTCCTGTCAGTTATTTGCATTAAAAATTCTTATAGTGAGGTTATGAATTCACTTTTAATGCTTTAATGTTGGATTCTAGTAACAAGACAGTACCTTACAGTTCTTTATTTAACATACAACTGCTGCTACATGTAGTACTCGCAGAAACCCTGCAATGTATTTGCAAAGGTAAATTGTAGATTAAACCAATACTGTGTGACAAACCAAAGGCAAGTGGCTGAGTCTACACAGTTCTTTGTATTGCACAGATTGTGTGGTTCTTCCAAATTTTTACTTACTATATTTTCTGCTTTGAATGGAACTACTGAAATGTGCATTTCCTTTCATAGTAGGGGTAAAATGATGTTGACTTTTTATTTTTTAAAGCATGAATGTACATTGTGGCAGGAGTAGTTTGCCATTCTGTCATATGCAGTTTGTGTGCCCTAGCACTGGCACCAGAATCACTTTCTGATTGTTATCTTAGAACAAGCAACTACTGCTTTACAATGGCATTTTTTTTTCTTTTTTTGTTAGATGATGGCAAATCATGTTTTTATACGGCAAGTGCAAAAGCTGCATCTTTTACTGTTTGGCTTTAGCACACGTAGCAAGCACAAGGCTGACTGGATCTGGGCAGAACCGCAAATTGGGGAAAACTAGATTGTGTGCAGAAGTGGTTTGCTTATTCCAGTACATTGAATTAAATTGTAATGGTAGAACAGATAACTTGATGTAATTCTTTTCTTTCCCTCTCAGAACAGAATTAAGCATGGAAGCTATTTAGCTGATACTTTATTTTGCATGTTTTCTGTTTTAGTACTCTGAAACCCAATTGTGCATCTTCTTTTATATTATAATTCTATTTCTTAACCAATTTGATTACTGAGCTGATTTATCAGTAGATAAGTGAAGATTATATAGTTTTCCAGACCTTAGTAGCCTTCGCTTATTGGTTTATTTCCAAGCTCTTTTAAACTGACTCTCAACTCCCTGTGTGTGTCTCATTGCTGTGTTTGAAACAGAACATGGCGTGTCTTCCTGTTCCCCTCAGTAATAACTTGTTTATTCTGAATCTTGCAGCTTTTTGGGGTTGGGTTTTTGAGGTACTTAATTTGGGCAATGATTTATAGCTGCTGCTTTCTTTTCTTCCTAAAGTTTTAAGGCTTGCGTTACGTGTATGTTTTCAATGTTGTTCAATCACTAAAAGTAAACCTTCACTGAAATGAAGCCTTGAATTAATAGATGTTGCTATAGTTCAATTCTTCTTCTCTCACACTGACAATGTACCTTTTAGATTTTATCACTTCTAAAACATGGGGAGAGCTTCTTCAGTCTATAGATCAAAATGTTTTGGACATTTATGACACAGGTTAATTAAAAGTGCTGATTAGATGTCCAGGAGGTCTCTCTAGAGGAAAAGTCCATCCAGTGAGTGTTTGCAGGACGTCACGTTTAATTATGTGACTGCTTCAGAGTTTGATCTGAGACCAAAAAAGTAAAGAACAGCAAAACAATGCCACTCATCTCAAAAAATTTTAAGGGATTGATTCACAGAGTCACAGAACTGTAGAGGTTGGAAGGGACCTCTGGAGATGATCGAGTTCAACCCCCCTGCAAAGCAGGCCCCCTGCAGCAGGCAGTTACTAACACTGCTCAAAAACGCTGCCTGAAGTGATAACCATCTCTTGCTTCCTTTGCTCAAGTGCTCTGCCTTGTTTTGAAAATGGAGGTTTAGGGGGAATTGAGAACTTCGTCCATGAAGTTTCTGTTTCTGGTGAAGTTAGCATGAATATTTTTGTGGCCTTTTGAGTTTTGTTGACTTTTTGTGTTTTGGATTGGACATCTTCAAGGCAAAGATAAAAGTAAGGGGTAATTTTGCAGGGGTAAAAATTGTGTTTCAAAATCCTGCCATCCTCCCACTCGTCAATTCCAATGGGATTTAATTGTATTGATTTGTGAGTGAATTCAGTCTTCCTTTTGATAGCAGGGACCGATATCATAGCTGGATTTTTATATCACTTTTATTAGCTCTTTTGTATTCAGAGTTTGTTGTTTGAAGGCTGTTTTATGGTTAGAGAAAAAAAAGTGAAACTCGTTTGATGGCTTCTTACAGTTACTCTTTGTGGTATTCTTTATTATCCCAAGAAGCTAGCATCAGTAGCTTCCCTAGGAGCATTTCATATTTTACAAATTAGACAAATTTAGACATAAGGAAAAACTTTTTCTCTCAGAGGTCAGGCACTGGGATGGGCTGCCCAGGGAGGTGGTGGAGTCGCCATCCTTGGCAGCATTCAAGCCCAGCGTTGTTACAAACAGATGGTGCTGTGAGCAGATAAATATGAGCATAGAAGTAGTCTTCAAGAGATGGAAGGCCACAGGAGAACTGGGAAATAGGTGCGTGACCAAAGACAGAAAGGATGGCTACAAAGTGGGTTTAAGTTACTCTTTTTACTGCTGTTTTCTTTGCTTTTTGCTGTCTTATACCTAGTGCTGGCTCTTGACTGATTTTTATGCTGGGAAAGTGTTCATTGGATAGTGCTTTTCATTTTAATGAACTCAGATCTAAAAGAAAACATACCTCATGAAATTTCTTTCAGCTTTTTGGTGTTAGAGGCAATAATAGTGGTAGTGTTCTTTATAAAAGAGAGTCATTATAACAGTGACAACTTCTGACTGCAGGAATGTTTCCATAGAATGTTGTTATTATTTTTGACAGTAAGAGTGCATGTGCCAATGCAGTAGGTATATAATAATTCTACAGGTGAATACAGTATTGTTTTTGTGTAGGTCTAATGCTGATGTTATTTTCCAGGCGTCCATCAGAGGATGAGCCGCCTCGGGTCCTTAGTGAAGATGAGATGAACAAACTGGGAGCCAGGATTGTGAAAGCTGAGCTCATGGGAAACATGGTAATGTTTTTGAAAAATTGTGACAGTTTACTGCAATTTTGCACGCAGTGCTTTAGTTTTAAGGAGCCACATGAACAATGGAAGTATATTTTCTGAGCAAATGAAGTTCTCTGAAATCTGATCATGTAAGATTTGATGATACTACTTTTAAGTACAACTTAAATAGAATATTTCATTTAAATAGAATATTTCTGTAACAGAAATACACAGATAAAAAAAAATGTGCCTCTGAATTAACGTAGCTGTGTTACAGGATTGTGAGGAATTAGTATCGGTGACTCAGATGTTTTATAGGCGGTCCTTTAGGAGTGTTGTTCAAATGGAAGTTTGGACACAAGCGTGGCTTACTTCTCTTAGCCTGACAGCAACAGAATAAAGAATATTTTGAATAAGCATACAAGAGGTGTGTGGGAAGAGAGTGATTCTTTAATTATAATACTTTTTTTTTTTTTTTTTTTCAAAATCATGTAGCAGAGATGACATTGCGATTTTGCTGTCACTTTAAATATGCATTTTTTTCTGCATACTCACTCTGAATTAGTTTTTAAACAACAACAACAAACCCTAATTTTCAGGCGTTTTTATTACAATACGTATTTCTGTACTGCAAGTACATCTTGTCTGAACAAATATTTGTATTTTATTTCCAGTAAAGAGTTGTGTGAATTATATTGACACTTTCTTTAGTCTGTTTGTGTCTTTGGAGTTTTAAAAAATGTAATAAAATGTAAATAAATGAAATGAATAGTTACTTCTGACAGGTTTCTGTAAGTTCAGAATGGTTAAACTAATTCAGTGCTACCACTTTGTTTGAAGGAATTGGCTTCAAAACTTCAAGCTGAACTTGATAGTGCGCGCAAATTAAAGGAGACTCAGAAGCAGATCCCAGGGAAGTCTCGCAGAGAGGTAAAGGGAAAATATTATTATTATTGTTTTTTTTTAATGCTGATGTGATACAGTGCAAGTAGCAGACATATCAGAGAGAGCATGAAATACTCACAGGAAAGTGAGAAAGTGTGGCATGCAAGAAAGGTCTGTACCTTCATTTGTAGACTTTGTCCTCATAATGGAGAAAAGATTTTTAGGGAAAACTGTGATGTTTTGATCCACAGTTTGACCTCAGTTCCACAGTGAAAAATCATGCATATTTTGTCAGCAGAATTTGAGTATTTTTTCAGGAAGAGTTCATCTCAGAGCTTTTACATTTACTAATAGTTTGCTTGTCACTGGAAGAAGGTCTGAAATAGAAGTTAATGTGTGGTCTTTACGTCATGACAGTCAAAGTAATAAATCTCAGGCCTTGAATTTACAGCTCTCTGTAGGTGAACTTGGAAATTCTTAAGACTAACAATTTTGAGCACCCTTAAATATTAATCATAGTCTGGTTTTTATCTTAATTTTTAATTTAAGGATTTTTAAAGCTAACAACATGTGGTCATTGCAGAAATACAAAATGTTAATATTAAATGAATTTCCTGAAGGGAAAAATCATTAAAAAAAAAAAGTGAAAACATATTTAGCAATTGATGTTATAGATTTTGCTTTTACCAAGCGATATACTGCTCTGCATTTTGGGGATTCCTCCCCGTGTTTAAAAGCACTAAGTTCACAAAATGAGAGTTTGGGAATTCGGAAATATAAACTTTTGAAAAAGAAGAGCTTGGCATCCTTCTGATTAGGCTGATTATGATCTGGTTCTAGTAAGTCTTGGATTGGCATCTGAAACATTCATGAGTAGTCTAGGAGAGGTCTTACTAAGAAGGACACATTATAGACTTTGCTAGGCTACAAACTCAAGCTTGTTTCCTGAAAACCTTGAAGCTATTGACTTAGTTGTTTCTGTTCATGAATTATTGCTATAAGATAGTTATTGTTTGGATTCAATGATCTTCCCACTGAACTATTCAGTTCTATATGATTTTTCTTATATCTTTTGTGTGACTATCTTCAGTTTTGCACTCTTGTAACATATACTTCAGTTGGATCTAGGGACTTAGAAGGCACATTCACTGTCTTGTGTTCCTTTAAACATTACGGGAAAAAAACAGAACACTTGGCCTCCTGCCTCCCCTGTTTGCCTCTCAAAACCTTCTGGAGCACCACCGTAGTGTTGGGATTGCTATGAGCTTCTGTTGATTTAGGGATTTAGAAACAGGACTCTTTCCTCTCTTAAGCCTCTTAGATGCAAAATATTTACCCTTGTGCTTCCCATGTTGGCTTTCTCTGAAGCCCAGGATCAGCATCTTAAATAATTCCATTATGTATGTGGTTTTCGGGTCTCTTCACCTCTGTGATACTTTTGTTAGTCTGTCTATCTTGCAGAAATGATCTTTGTGAGAGTCAGGACTGCTGACAGTCCTACTGTTGTCATCTTTCCAGAGTTTGCCTGAGTGGGAATGGTCCCTTACAGATACATCAGGGCTGGTGTCTATAATCCTGCTGATTGTTAGCTCTTGAAATGCACCTTGCTTGAAGAGAGCCAGCCTCATTACAACCTGCTGTAATGTTGCTCAGCTTCTTAGGCTTGTAAATGGGCAGACTCTTCCAGCCTCTGTGAAAATGGTGCTGTTTACATGAAGTCACTGTAGATTTAATTATTGCCCAGTGTCTCGCTCCAATTTATAGGAGGGAGAGGAGGTTCTTTTATTATCTATATACCCGGCGTGAGATTAAGAAGCAACGGTTCAAATGTTGGTCCGACCAGTTTATTACAAATGTTTATTAGGGAAATGGGGAAGGGGAGGACGGATGCTATTATGAATTAGGGTAATGGGGGAAGGGAAGGAGGGCGATAGAAAAGATAGAAAAGAAGAGGCAAGGGGTCTTTATAGGCAGCAAGAGGGACATAGTCACCACCATGGATCCAGCGAGGTTCATAGTTCGGTCTTTGATCTTCAGTAGCGGTGGGTCGTCAGGCAGAGTTGTTCTGTTGACAACGACGACGAAGCACGACGAGACGACCATGGTGATGATGGCCCCTTTTCAATAGTTTCAGAGTGGTCGAGTCAGCTGTCTTTGGAGTGACAGCTCAAATCCAAAGTGGTTGAGTCAGCTCTCCTTTGAGTGGCAGCTTCTGGCTCTGGGGCCTCAGCAGGAAACTCCTTTGTTCTTATCTTCCTGGCCTTGCCAGCAGATAAGAGGAAGCAGGGAGGCACCGACTTGCATCTTGCCTTCGCAGGATACAATGGTATCATCCCCCAGCCTCCCATAGCAAACAGGAGTTATTTGGTCACAGGCTAGTTCTTCTGCCAGTAAACAGTCCTGAGCACTATCTTCTGAAGGCAGACAGCTCCAAAGATGGAAAATTGTCCACACAGCGATGTTGATTGCCACACAGCACCCATCATTTGCCTCCTCAACAAACTACCTCAGGAAGCAAGCTTTGAGCCAAAAAAAAGCAAAGAAGGATTCTCACACCCAGGGCTTGCTTTCCAGGGAGTGGGTGTCTTCTGTGACATTCTAAAGCCTTGCTGTGTTGTCTTTTATGAATATGCCATGGTAGTGTTTGTTTCTTGGTTATTGCTAACTTATATTAGATGTTTTTTAAGTGTGAGCAGTCTTACAAAGCTGATAGTTGCTCAGTCCTAAGTCCTATCCAAGTTGCCAAGGTAATCTTACCAGTTGCATAGCTCAAATTGATTTTGAAGTTTTGGGACATAAGCAGAATGTATTGGGCCTGCAAATCATTGGTGTATAAACAACTCACAGGTTCAGAAACCATCTTGTAGCAAGAAGCTGAAAATATATTTGACAGTATTTGAATTAGTCTTTCTGTAGCACTGACCGTTCAAGTGATGGTCTCAATCGATTTAGACATCAGTATTCAAATTAAATACCTGAAACAGTTTCCACAGGAATGGTTTCCAAAAGAATGCCTCAACAATCCTGAAGTTTGATGTATTTGCCTACTACCAATAATAAACAGAAAGAATTTTGTTTCAGGTAGGTCTGTGGTTCCTTGAAGTAACATTGCCATTGTTGTGCTGAAAGGTCCCAAAACCTGGTTTTGCTTTCCTTATTTTCATTTCTGTTAGGGAATTTGGGAGATAATTCAGAAAGCAGTGAAGGCAATTCTGAATGCATCTCCATAGCTAATCTTTTTCTTTCTTTCTTTGTGATTAATTGAACGTGGATCAATTTCCCAATTCATTTTACTGTGTGATTGAAAGTAGACTCATACGAGTGTAAGGGGTAGCATGGGTGACTGGGGTTTGTGCAGAGGACAGCATCAATTCTTTTGAAGTGAAGTGGTGCTAGTTCTTTATCGATCACTTTAAAGTGATCAAGAAATTATAGTTCACTACAAGAAAGACATTGAGGCCTTGGAGCGTGTCCAGAGAAGGGCAGAGAAGCTGTGCTGGTCTGTAAGCACAGTTCTTATGGGCAGCACTGAGGGAACTAGGATTGTTTAGTCTGGAGAAGAGGAGGCATCGTGTAGCAGTGATAGGATGAGAAGGAATGGATTTAAGTTTCATCAGGGGAAGTTCATAGCTAAATACGTATCCACATCCATATCAGAAGCCTAATTTAAGGATGAATTATTTTCGGTACCTTCTGAACTAGTATGCTATCATAAGTGTTTTTGCAGTTAGTGGTATCAGGAGGGCTAAGCATTGCTCTTATCAAACTTGATAGCTGAATATGCCATAAAAATGACAAAAGTTTTCAGTGCTGTGGTAAGCAGGGAGACTCTGAGAGAACACCACTGTGTATCAGGCTGCTGTCAGTTAGCAAAGCACCTCAGAAACAAGGCCATGAAACAGAACACCAGGCTAGACAAGAAAAGGATTAGTACTAAAAGGTGGATTTATTAGAGTGTGTTCTCCTCACACCTCTGAATATGTCAGTGTCTGGTATCCTTAACGGCTCTACAGATTGTTTTCTGTATTAGAACATTTAGTAAACATTATGATGCTATTTTTACTAGTTTGAAATAGGAAATTAGATCAGAATAGCAGCCCAAGGTTAAGCACTCTAAACACTGAACACTGAAAGCCTGACTTTCAGTGAATAGGATTAACTTCCTGTGGAGGCAGGGACAGGCAACTCAGGCAGAATAAGAATAAGGAGTTAGGATATACAGGAAGAAAATTATGAAGGCAAAAGCCAAGCTTGAACTTGACCTGGCCACTGGGGTGAAAAAGAAAAGAAAAATGATTGCCAAGCTGCTTTCCACCGTCTATTAGAGATCCTGGTCAACCACAGAGGTCTCAGAACTGGAGCCTTGTCAGTGTGACTCCCATCTACAAGCAGGGTCATAAGGAGGTTCTGGGGTACTGCAGCTCTGTCAGCCTGACCTTGGTGCCAGGAAAGGTTATGGAACAGATCACCTTGAAGGATATCCCATGGCATGTAGGGGACAACCAGGGGATGAGGTTCAGCCAGTGTGGATTCACCAAAGTCAGGTGCTGCTTGACCAACTCCTACGACCGGCTGACCCAACTAGTGGATGAGGGAAAGGCCGTTGACGTAGTCTGCCTAGACATCAGCAAAGCCTTTGACACTGTCTCCCACAGTATTTTTCTGGAGAAGCTGAAAACCTGTGGATTGGACAGGGGCAGTCTTTACTGGGTAAAGAACTCTCTGGATGGCCAGGCTCATAGAATGGTGAATGGAGTTAAATCCAGCTGGAGACCAGTCACGAGTGGTGCTCCCCAGGGGTTGGTCCTGGGGCCTGTCCTCTTCAATATCTTTATTGATGGTCTGGGCGAGGGCATTGAGTGCACCCTCAGTAACTTTGCAGGTCACACCTCACACCAAGTTGACAGGAAGTGTTGATTTGCCTGGGGGTAGCAAAGTCCTACAGAGGGATCTGGACAGGCTGTATAGCTGGCCAGCAAGATTGAGTGCCAGGTCCACAACAACCCCAGGCAATGCTACAGGCTTGGGGCAGAGAGGCAAGAAGA